CCCTCCTCAGTGCTAAATTGGATGAAGAAAATAGGATGTTGCGAAACAGGTTGTCAGAAGCATGGTAAGTTGCAGTTTCGGTTGAAGTAGATCAGGCGCAGTCAGTAGATGGCCTATAATATGTAACTCAAATTCTATTTCTTACAGCAAGAACTTAGAAAATCAGTGAAGTCCCATCTGCCCTGCAGCAGCATTTAGTTCGTGCGTGGCACGCGTAGATGGTATTATTTAAATATGCCAGCTTCTGCGCCCGGACCCTCTTCTTCCTGTTCAGACGTTAACGAGCTGAGGAGGGAGTATTTTGCGTTTTAAACAAGTCACAAGTAGTGTGCCCACTCCATGGATGCCATCGGGTGCGGACATGCCATCTGCCTGCCCGCCTGATTCGCCTATTCATTTGAATTCTGCTTACCAGCTTTCCACTTAGCTTCCTTTGTAGGATCAACTGTGGTTCTCTTATGAATTTCTGCATCACGGAGGAGCGGCTTGCTAAAGATATGGCTGAAACCTACTCTGTGGTCGAAAGGTCACCATCGCCGACAACCCCGACAAATGCTTCCAGCGGAGCCACATTTGCAAACGTAATTAAGAAGACTGGTAAGTGGACGACAGTCAGACCAGTGAAAGGGTCATAACTGGCACCTGTTTCTCCAACTGTCTTTCCATTCTCAGGTGCTCTGAGTGAATGGTACGACTTGCAGCTGTCCAACGGTCCTTCCTTGGGTCAGCCCTCAACTTCTTGGGCCTCCCTGACTACAAATGCGCCACCTCAGGCACCCGCTGATCTAACTGTTCCTAACCCCTTCAACGGAACTTTTCAAGTCCAACCCTAAATACTATCTTTGCTGCAGTAAATCGCATCCGCGAGGAGATTTGGGCGACCAGTGTGGTTCAAAATGCTTCTCATTTCGCTCGATCGGGAAGTCACTATAAAAAGCTGAATTGAAATAGATGCGCTTTCATTTACTAACCGTGTCATATTTACATTACGCTGAGAGACAGCTAGTAGCATACAAGTGTTGACTGGTGTGTCGTAAAGGCATCAAAGCTGAAATGCCAGATATTAGTCTAACAACCTGCTACTTACTGAAGACTAATCCAGACTTAATAGGTTCTTCAGTAACCAAACTCCTCATCAACTTACAAAGTCTGCGATTTACTTACAACTAGGACGAACGTTAAAATGTAGATGTTGGTTCCCAAAAGTATTAAAATAACTTAATGCTGTAAAAAAGCGCGTCATAAATAAAAACAAAAATACAACCATGTTGCTTTTAGTATACTTTATTTTTCTGTTAATTTAAAGTTTTGCTTTTAATTTATTATTGAGTTTAATTAGTTTTGCTTCAGTTTTAGATTTCTTTTTAGTGCAGTTATTTTATGTTATTTTAGATTACCTTTGCGTTCTAGTTTCGTTAAGTTTAGTTTGTAGTTAAAGTTACTTTTAGAACTCTTAGATACATGCGGTTTTTTGCGTTAAAAATTATAATAGTTTACCTTAGATTAATTATATTGGCACATTTAACATATATTGAGTTCATTTCAGGCCTTATATTATTTTTTCCTGATTATTGCATGTTGTTGGCTTTAGTTTATTTTTAGATAAGTGTTCAGTTTAGCTAGTCAAGCTCACTTTTGTTAACCTTCCTTTAGTTTGTTTTAAATTTTAGTTACGTTTGTAGTACATTTCATATTTATTAGTGACATGTACTTTTATTTTTTTTTCTCACTTAACTTTAATCTTGGAAATTTGAAGTTCTTTGCGTTTTGTCCCCTTAGTTGAGCCGTTCCCGATATTTGTGAAGTTGCAGATTTCTTGCGGATTCTTTGTTTCTTGCTTGTTGTATTTCTCTTTTTATCAGGCGTTTTCTGTTGCCAAGCATTAGCTTATTCGATTAATTATTCCTATTTTCTAGACTTTGAGAGGCTTTAATTTTATTTAGATTTTCCTTGTTCTGAGATGTCAAAACTGTATAATATTTATGATAGCCGGTCTGTTATTAAATAAGGAACTTCAGAGGTAGTTATCAGGCAGCTAGAAACTGGTCGGTGTGGCCACACTCATTAAACAAACTTATGTTATAGCTTATTGAACTGAAACTCCTGGAGTTTCCGCTCGGCTGCACCGCCGACACGCCTGCTGCCATACTGGGATGACGGATGGGCGACTGAATCGTCAGTTGCGGGGTCACTGTTGTGTAAACTACATAAGTCTGGCCAGTACTTGCCCACGTGCATTTCCCCTTCCCCCACTTTGTTGCTGCATTTAGGCAAAACGTAGAGCAATGTGAAAAATGTCGCGGAAATCGCGGACGCAGAATGGGTGTTCGCTACTTCCAGGGGAGTTTTTTGTTGTCTTTCTTGATTGGCATGTGGCTATTCAGCACGTGGTTGGATCCGCTATCAAAATGCGAACTTCCAAAAAATAGCACATAGGGACAAAACCGTGAGAATACTTTGATTAACTGCACATGGACAAAGCACAGCACAGGTCGATCATCGTTTTATAGGGTGCCCACCGCGTGTTTAGCAAGCTGAAGGGGAACGCGGTGTCTTTTAAGAGACTCTGCTTTGCATACGCCGCACAATCTCTTCCCCTCCCACTCGAGCCCGGGGTCACGACCAGTTCAAAGAAAACCGGAAGCGAGACAGGGTGCAGGTGGCTGGCGCGGCGTGAGGCGTACGTAAGCGTGCCCTCACATCCGACTCACATACCAGCTGACTAGGAGGGCTATAATGGCCACTAGAATTGAATATGCTCGTTCCAGTGGTCGCTTCTTCTTCTTCTCCGATAATGGCCACATTTAGAAGGAGCCATTACAACCATACTCTCAGTCCGCTTCTGAACCACCGCAAACAAACACACGCGTTTTGGCTTAAGTGCGCAGTCCCGGTTGTGCCGTCAGTTGGCAGCCTTCTAAGCTACGGCTTTTAGCGCGCTGTCTATATGCGCACGGCCCTCGATCCCCTTTTATATTCTCATTCCGGGGCTTCCACCACCATACTACCCCGCCAGTGAACTGACAGGCGTAGTGAGTGCAGTCGATAATATGAATAGTTAACTTGTGTGTGTACCACGCATATGACCTGTTCCCCGTGACCCGGAAACACCATCACCACGATTTACGACAACAATTTATGATGTCGGTCTAATAAAGAGGCATTGCGTCCTTATTCTCGAACCACCTGAATCATTACAGCCAACAGGGGGGAAGCTGTTTGAACAAGGGTTTCCTGTTGTGCAGTTATACAGTGTAAAGCTATGCTGATTAACGGACGTCGAGATATTGCATAATTAAAAAAAATAGAATGAAAATTGTGCTTAAAACACTCCCAGCGCAGGCCATCCGATTTGAATACACCCTCCCCCCCCACCCCCCACGGGCGACAGTTATTCTCCTTAAAATCTCTCAAATAGGGTTCCAACACCTAGAATTTCCGAACAATGCCCAAGGAGGTCCTTGACGGTCGGCGCTTTTTACCCAGTTCCATTTACTGGCAACGCCACCCTTCTGAAATGCTTTGCTGAATCAATGCATTGCACAACTGTTCTTTACCCGTAGGGGGTTCTAAAGTATTGACCTGCATTTCCTTAAATAAAACTTGACCTGACCTGAACTGGTAGAAGGAATAATTTCGAAGGAAGGGGAAAAAAGCAAAGTTTGAGCAGTTAATTTGACAAAACAATTTAGGACGGTGCGGACAGAACGCCAACATACTTGCAGAGCATTATGACTACTGGGGAACGTTGTTGATGCACCATGTAGAGGAAGTCGGCCTCCGTCAGTATGAGGGGACCCTGGG